CATGGGGGGGGGGGGGGGGGGTGTATTCATATTGGTCCATGCGGTGGTCGTTGGACCATTGACCTCGCATCCAAAAAAAGCCGGGAGGGAGCACGCGGGGTTTTCCCCGGACCGGGTTCTCACATCCCCAAGCGGGAAGCCCGGGGGGGGGGGGGGGCGTTGGAGAAGCTTCCATGAGCTTGGGGTCTCTGGAGTTTTACCCGCGGAATCTGCACGCGCCGCAACAGCATCTAGTAGCAGAGAATGTGGCTTCCCCCAGTCAGAGATCTCGACTGCAAAATATTTCATGCACCCACAGGAACGCATAGAAGCCATGCACCCACATCTTTTTTACCGACGGACATCCTGGGCAAGGAACGAGCGTCACGAACATGTGCGTTTGTTTCTTGTTTCTTCCACACCTGTCGCTCTACTACAGCAGGTGCAGTTTTCTGTCCCTCCAACCAGCAACTTACATGAAACGGGCTAAATCCCTAATTCTAACCCAACCCTAACCCGAAACCCACCCAAAAGGTGCTAGGTTGACGTTGGGTGGCTCAAAGCGTGTGCCTGGATTTTAGGGCTAGGGTAGCGCTGGGTGGTTCTAGATTGGTGTGCCGGCATTGGGGCTAAGTTGGCGCGGGGTGGCTCAGTTCTTGGTGTGCCGGCATTGGCGCTAGGTTGGTGTTCAGGTATTCATGGGATAATCTCTAGGTTGGTATGGCTTGGATAGGTGCTAGGTCGGTGTTGATGCGTAGGTGCTAGGCTGTGTGAGCCTAGGTCGCTCTTGGTTGGGTGGTTCCGTCGGTCAAACGTAAGGTGTGGGTGAATGGCTTCGTGCGTCCCCGTGGGTGCATCGAATATTTTTCCAGAGTGATAAAGCATGAGAGCAAGTATTAGCTATGTTTCATCACTGTACCAGAAAAACAGATGCTACCGTACAGTATTATGATACATCCATCCGTAAATTATGGTGAGTGAAGGTTACCGATTCTCCGAGGAAGCCCTGGCTCGTCAAGGCTCGAGTTTTCACGTACCACGAGATCTGGGGCAGGTCTTGAGCTGTGCAAAGGTCTCATCGCGGTGTATTACAGCTGGCCACAGTAACAATAACTATCGATGTTGACTACATCCCAGCTGCCGTTATTACGCGTGATGTTTTCGATGATTCCACGGCTCTTGTGCGCTCAATACAGGTATCTTCACTACTGATGTATGTACAGTCGTGGGCCCGGTTCCCTGTTTAGCGGGATGCCCTGAATAGCGGTTGTAAAATCTCGTGACACGGCTGCACCCCGGTTTAGCGGTTATAACCGGTAAATAAACCGGTCGTGCCCTCAACAGCGGTTATTGGACATATGTTCAGCCACCGATAGCGGTTATCGGTTCAATTTTTGCGGGGACCTAGTGCGCGCTTCGCTTGCACATACTGAGAGCACAGCGACATTGGTCAGCCTGTTAGCTGGTCGATGCTCATAATAAAAAGGGCACAGCGAGACACACACACACACCAAACGACGCAGGGCTAGAGAAGAAATGCCGGAAAATAGCGATGAGAGTGATGATGGTAGCAAGGAGGATGCGATGATGGTGAAAGCACTCCAAAACGAACTCGAGTGCAAGGTAGCAGTGTCTCTCTGTTGCTACCGTTTCTGTCCTTAATCCGGGGAATAGCTTTTGCCTGCCCCATGCCGCCCCCTTTCGGGGTCCCAGTGAATGACATGCTAGAAGTGTTTTGTTTTTTCAACCGCGCTGAGACTGACGACGGCGTCTTTTCATTGGTCAGCCGCGGTTAGCGCGGTCGATGCTAATAATAAAGACACACACCATGCGGCGCGTGGATGGAGAACTCTGCGAGCTCCTAGATGCGGTACTGAGTCCAAGCGGCGCGCACGATTGTAAAGGTTATTGTGGTGGCCGCATACATGGCATGTGTGGGGAGGTGGAGGATCTGGATGACAACGAGATGGAACCGGCGTGCAACCAAGAAGGCGCAGAGTTCCCGTCACTTCTCAAATCCGCCAAAGCGCCAAGAGGTGGAAGGTGGCTTTCTAGCACCAGGCGCGCGGAAACAAACAACTCGCTGCAGCTACACAACAACAGCCCCACATGCGGCTCTACTTTGGCTAGAAGCTCGAGGTTTTGAAGCTTGTTGACCACAAGGTAGCGCGCCCAGAAATAGTGCGCACAGGAAGAGATCGCCCATGTTAGATATACTCGTAGCATAGTAAATGCGGTTGAATATGGGGCATGGATCTACGGAGATTGCAGTTGGTAGATTGCGGAGGAACAGGGAGTTTCTGCTTGGTTTCTTCGGAGATTCGATGAGTGATCTGAATTGCGTGACGGATAGGTGTGGTGATGCTCTCTTCGGTTCCTCGCCTTCTAGTGTTCTCTGCTGTTCCCTCTTCCCTCTAATACAAGACTTTCCCATCTCGGCCCTCACCGGCCGAGTAGCCTTTCTCCACAAACCTACAAGCTTCGGCCTACCCGGTTTAGCCAACACGCTAGCGTTAACGACTTTGTCGAGGGTGATTGGGTAGCACCGATGGGCAGCCGCATGCGCGGCTGACGACATCCAACCAGACGAAGAGGCCAACAGCGGCGAGGGCCTGCACAGCAGCAGCACCCACAAGACCTACAGCAGCGCTCCCAAGATCTACAGCAGCGCCATCGTTAGCTGAAGCCCGCCGTCTACTGGGCTTGTAGGCATGAACAGGCACGTGATAACTTGTCAGTTTTCGACTGCTGTCGTTATGTGTACACACACCCATCCATGCGGTGATGCGGTACGCCTACCTACATAGTGCCGTCAGATTCTAAACGCGGTATTATGCCGTGCGGTACTGCCGTCAAACACCAACGCTTACTCCAACTCCACCTCCACCCGGTACTGCCGTCAAACTCTCTCTCCAACTCTTTCTCTAGAATAATCGCGGCAACACGCTGCGCGGTAAAGCCGTCAAACACCAACACTTGCTCAATCAAAACGCGACAAAACGTCGTGCGGTACAGCCGTCAAACTCCACCGCTCGGTCAAAGGCCGACTACCTGTAGCAAATGGGTAGACACAATCCAGGTTACCAGTAATCCTCAAAAACTGATGCCAGTTTCTAAACTGATGATATTGTGTGTGCGTGTAGCATGGTATTAGAAATAGTATTGTGCGCATTGTAATGCAGTGATTGGCGAGGTTTTGTGCTTTGTCTTCCTGACAGCCGTGATGAGACCAACTTTCTCTCGCCAGCAACAACGTGATCAACGTTTTATCTGGGCTCTTATTGGTAGCTACTTTTTGAGCAGCAGGTTTAGCCTGATCAAAAATGCGTGATCAACGTTTTATCTGGACTTTCTTTCGGTAGCAGGTTTAACCTGATCAAAAACTTTTCATGTCTTGGTTGTGTTAGCGAGTACCACAGACGTGTGAAGTCTCAGCGACGTGCAACATTGATTGGTACATCCACCTTGTTGCAGATTAAAAATCCACAATATTGACGAAATAAATGCTGATTTCCGAATATTGTTATACGTTGTCTTGAGGTTGCTATTTGTTATGAGATTGCGATTCCAAAGTTGTGAAAGTTTCGACTTAGGATTGATTACCCTTTGTTTGGAACAGGAGCAGCGGCTGAATTATGATTTTGTGATAGAGGACTAATCAACCTCCGTTTCAGGATGATATTCAGGTATCTATGTATTGAATTGCAATGTCGCAGTGATCGGTAATTTCAGACAAACATTGCACAAGTAGGGTCCGACGACTTGAAAGTGTATTTCATTTATTGTTTTTTCTGCTGCAGTCACTACTGTGCAGAACCGGGGGGAATGTTGGTAGTATGTGATTCTCTTCAGTAGTGCTGGTTTGTTCGGAACTAATCTGCCGCCATCTTCTCCAAACGCGCGACCTGCCCTGCACCACCGCCGAGTCAATCCTCCGGGAGCGACAAATGTTCTTCCCCCACGTCAGGCGGACGCAAACATCCAAGCTCGAGTCGCGGCCAGCCGGAAAAGATGAAAGACGGAAGGCGACCGCGGCGAAGGCGTGCGAAATATCCGCTGGGGGGAGAGAAACAATGGCTTGGGCAATGGGTTAGCGCTGGAGCTTGATGGGCCGGCAAATGTAGGAGTTTCGAGTGTTATTGTTTTGGTATTGAATTGGAGGATTTTCGAGTGTTGATTGTTTTGGTATTGAATTGAAGGGTTTTCGAATGTTCTGTTTTGGTACTGGATTGGATTATATGTTTTGGCATTGAATTTGATTTGGTTTTGGTGTTCGTCGGGATTTATTTGCAGGAGGATTGTTTTTCTTGGGTTTCGACTGGATGAACATTAAATGTTGTTCTTTTGTTCTATGGTTCAGACTCCAACCCCTTCTAAACTCACGGGGGCGAATCTCCCAGAGCAGGGGGGCGCGTTGTTCTTTCGGAAGGTATTTACCTGTAGGTGGTACTAGGTTTCTAGAGAGACACAATAGGAATACTCACGTATTTTCTGCGCAAATGATCTTCACGCTGAACGAATGTTTGAGGATGGATGTTGTTTGATCGGACATGTGAGAGTAAAAAAGGATCCATACCATACCCAGCTGCGTTTTACCTGCAAATGGGCATGTTCATACTTACTTCTATTTTTGCGAAATTTGTGTTGTCTTTGTAGGATTTGTAGACGGATGGATGGATGTACTGGAAGCACAACGAAGGCGAATTTCTACGAATTGATCCGTGTTTTCGAAAGTGGACGTAATGACGAGTGTCACAGATAGGTTTGGTTCGATGGATTGTTTAATGCTTCGGTTGTGCGGGGGATATTAGTACTTTGCGGGTGACGTTGTACTGAGAAAGGATGGACCAGAAGAAGAGCGTTTTTCAGAGAAGGAATGAAGGCGATGAGACAAGACGTGGTGAGTTCAGGAAAATTTGCATCATCGAGTTCTTGGTTATTTGTGTGTCATGGAGGAGTAGGATCTACGTTTGGGAAGTAAATGGAATTATATTGACTTGCCGTGTCATTACGATGCATACGAGCAGGGGGGCTGTTAGATATACTCGTAGCATAGTAAATGCGGTTGAATATGGGGCATGGATCTACGGAGATTGCAGTTGGTAGATTGCGGAGGAACAGGGAGTTTCTGCTTGGTTTCTTCGGAGATTCGATGAGTGATCTGAATTGCGTGACGGATAGGTGTGGTGATGCTCTCTTCGGTTCCTCGCCTTCTAGTGTTCTCTGCTGTTCCCTCTTCCCTCTAATACAAGACTTTCCCATCTCGGCCCTCACCGGCCGAGTAGCCTTTCTCCACAAACCTACAAGCTTCGGCCTACCCGGTTTAGCCAACAGCCCAACCTTTTTGCATACAAGTATTATATCAGTGTACGCGAATGACAAGGTTGGGTTGTTGAACGTTGTCCAGTTTGTACATGGAGGGGGGCCTAACCTCTCCGACGACGATACGACGACCTAGAGGTAGGGCTGGATACCGCGGCGCAAGTTGACGGTGCGAAGGGCAGGGGGGTGATGGCGCCGCCACCATACTCGGAGCTATCATCGGATTTTGACCAGCGTGGAGAGCGCGGAGTCGCGTGGCGTAAGCAAAGCAGCACAGCACACTACAGCTGTTTCGCAAGGAAAAATTGCGTTCCTCGCAGTGCACGCCGCTCCTCCAGCGCGCAAGGCAGATACCAGAGAGATAGGTTAATGACCGCTAAAGTGGTTTAGCGGCGATGCCCTGAATAGCGGTTATAAATTTTCGTGACACTATGGACCGCTAAACCGGGCCCACGCCTGTATGTACAATGAAATGTACCACACCACTGGCTCCTCTGAGTCTTGGATTGTCCCGGTGCTATTGTACCAGCACTGCTGTAGTCTGTTCCTGTATGTAGAGGTGTCAGAGCCCTCTGCTGCTTCGACCCTCTCGATCGAAGCACCATCAAGAGCGCCTCTACACCCGGCGTGTGGCTAGTCTGGAGTGGCTGTTGTTGTAACGCGAGCGGAAATGGAACTGACTGAAATCGCGCACCCTTGATGTCGGTTGCTGTTTCGTAGATTCTGCTGTCGTAGATCCATCAGCGGGCAAACCCAATGGTTGATGAGCTCTGGTGGTATCCCTCCAAATAATTCGTTCTGCAGGTTTTGGCGGGTTTGGCCGCGCACCACATGTTGCCCGTCACCTCTCTCTCTCACACTACTCTCCACAAGATAAGCGGCGGCAGCAGCAATTTCAGCACGCGCGCAGGCTGGTGGTGGTAGGAAAGAGCAAGGAGGAGCAGGCGGTGCGAAGTACATCCTTACACATTGGACTCTAGAGGCTCGCCTGGGCCGAGCGCTGAAAAGAGCCGAAATATATCCAGGTGAGAACATGCACCACGGGCAGGCGAGCTTCCGCGTGAGCGAGCGCGGTAGTTCGAGCGAATTGACAAACGAAGGGCAGACTGATGTATTCCCCATCCCCCGCAAGATATGCTTTTCAACTACAGAGCAGCACCGGTCCTCTCGTCTATCAAGTTGTTCGCGAAAAACGCGGTGTCTGAGGGACCAGCAGTTCAAATAGTCAACAAGCGGCCACACAACACCACCAGTCTACAGCAGTTGGCGCCCGCACAATAATGTTGTTGTTGTTGTTGTTGCCTTCACAAACCGTTCCGTTCTCTCTACCCAGTAACTTCTTCTGTCCGTACTGGTCCAACACTTGACGCGGTCGATTCCCGTGGTCACCGGCTAACTTACCCAAAGAAGTACACCGTATGTACAAGGCTCAATGCTTACTGGAAGCCTCATAAATTGAGAGCACCTGTTGTTATTTTCAAAAAAAAAAATTCGAGCTGGCACCCGCCATAAACGGGCCTCTGTTCTTATTTCTTCGCCGAGGGCCACACCGGTTTTTATTCTCGGTAGATTAAACCTGCTTGAGAGCAGCGTGTTCACAAAAAACAGGATCTAGAAAAACCGTAGTTCAGCAGTTACTTCTTGATCCGACGCACCGCAGCTTCCGCCATCAGTAGGGTAGTGTTATGGGATTTGATTTGTCCAATTCAATGGTATTGCAGAGTAATTCCCAGAGGAAAGCCCTGGAGATGGAACTCCCTATGGAAGGATAAAACAGGGGACAGGAACTTTGTGGCCCCTTTTGGAGGGAACATGTAAGGGGTCCTCCATCTGGAAACGTCGGAACACCCCTAGGTTGCGTGTCAATCTTGGTCGTGAAGGGGGGGGGGGGGGGCGGAGGAGGCCTTATGTTTGTCCCGGGGGACATTTTGACCAAATCCCCGGGGTTTCGACACAGTTTCCGCGTGCTATTTTGCGCGCGCGCGCACGCGCGCGCACGGGATCCCACGCAAAGCTAGTGGAAATTGTGGAACACCCCCAGGTTACGCGTCAATCTTGGTCACGATGGGGGGAGGAAATAGTATGACGATGCTAAAGCCTACACTATGAAAAGTATTTATGGCTTTTAGAACGCGGCACGAAAGCCTACACAATAAATATTTTATTGGTTATACTATGGACACACTAATTCATATACAATAGACTGCGGCAAGAGCCGCGCAATGTGGCTATCCTGCGTGTCAATCTTGGCCCGGGGGAGGGGGAGGGGGGGTTTGGTGTTCCACGGTTTCAAGATGGAG